CACACACACACACACACACACACACACACACACACACACACACACATAACACACAGAAACAAACAATAAAACATTAACACAAAATTCCAAGCAATTATCATCACCAAACAAGTAAAACTAACTAAACCAACCATCATAACACAGAAAAATATAAATTCTAAAATAAAATGTTCTGAAGAAGATAATGATTTTTCAAAAGAAGTATCTATGGAAAGACCACTGAGTCAACTTTTATATTTTTTATAGTAGTCAGATCAATATATTGGATTGGTGGTATAGACTGGTGATGGCAACATACACCATACACACAAAATTAAAGATAATATTGCATAAAAGTTCAGTTCAATCAAGACATCTCGTACTCACTCTCAGATTATTTCTTGGGTTTGCACTCTGGAACCTCACAGTCACTTGAGAACCCTGATGACACCAAAAAAATAACAATGATAATAATAATGAGGTAGATCATTTTTATTGCACCTACTCTCTTGGGCACTCAGCTCTACGTGTTTTACATAAATCAAAGTACAAAGAACAATAAATGGAGAAAAAAATAATTTGCTCTTATGAATGAATAATCGCACGCATGCACGCATACAAGCACACACACACTTACTTAATTCATGCACACAAACATGCACTCACACTTATTCATGCACACACACACACACACACACACACACACTTATTTATTCATGCACACACACACGCACTCACACTTATTCATGCACACACCCATACATACACACACACACACACACACACACACAAACACACGCACGCACGCACGCACACACAAACGCACGCACACACACACACACACACACGCACGCACACACACACGCACGCACACACACACGCACACATACGCACACACACCTTCTGATTACACACACATGCACACACACACATAATATACATCATTTTGAGAGAATATTCATAAGGTGCTGGAAAACAAGTCACTGGCTAAAGGTCCCTTTCAAGACAATCTGGTTATTACAGAGGCTGAACCTTCCACTGACACTATTTAGATCACTTTCAAGGCAGGCAAATTTCACCGTCTCTCATCTCACTTACCGCACGATATGATGGGTTTGCATCTTGGAGAACAGACCCAAACTCTTCTCCAGAAGGAGCCAAATCAAAGATAACTCCAGGCACAAAGTTCAGCTGCACATCCAGGAGATTAGGAGGGGTTGGTCCATCTGGACTTGGAGTACCCTGTGGTGCCATCGGCAAAAACAAATAATTTTAGGCCAATAAAATGATGCATGTACTATTTTTTTCTTCTTAAATGTAGTGTTTAACGCTCTCTTTGACACAATTTAGATTTCTCACGAGGCAGCTTTGACTCTCCTGTCAGAGCACACTGGGGATGAGGGATACTATATCCCGTTAAAAAGAACGAGACACTTGCTAAAAATTTTCCCCACAGATGAATTGAACTCGAGTCTACCGCAAGCAATGGTGAAGTGTTTAACAACTACATATCAGACCCTGGTAAGCGTGTCCTACAGAACGTTGAGAGCTAGAATAGGTATCGGCAGGTGCTAGTTAACAGCAAGCCTGCACAATAACTAAATCTTTCCAAATAAACATATAAGGACAAAAGAAATACTGGAAAGAAGAGCAAGGGGCAGACCATGCCAGAGCATCCACAAACAATCTGCAGAGCTAAAATAGGCACACAACTGATATTGTAACAAAGCTGAACAAAAGCTAGTATCCAATATAGTTGTAAAGTCTCCTCATTTCACTTGCAGGGTGGAACACCCAAAGTTACATCATGTTAAACAGAGAGAGGGTCTGGGCATATGGTTTGGTCCAACTCACATTTCTTTCCTTTTTTCATCCCGCCCATGTCAGTTTTTAATTTTTAAAATATCTGTTGGTAAGACATAAAAAGGTTAAGTTGGAATCCATTCATGCATATTATACGTCTGCTGTGTATGTGCTCTCAATTCTTATTCCCTACACTTCTGAGATCACTTTAGCAGTCATAAAGGAAGTTAGTCTGTGCATTCACATCTGGATACACTTTGCAGTCTTCCTTTGTTCGATTCGAATAAAACACACACAAAGATATCAGAATAATGAAAATAAAGATGCAAAGGCACAGATGTAGCAATAATGCAAGACAAAATTGCTTCTATTTCCCAACCGAACAAATCAAGGTTCATTGTGCATGTGTGCTTGAAAGAATGTGCATGTATCTTTGTGTATGTAAGTGCGCGTGTAGTAGTAGTAGTAGTATAAGGTTTTACGGCGCTCGCAACTGCTAAGGTCATATGAGCGCGCGAAACACAAGTTGTTCACCTCTGCG